GGGAGTAAGTAACTATGCTAGAAAGCTCCAGCTGGCCCGGTCAGGAGCTCTCAACTGCCTTCTTTGCACCTGCTTGGGGGTGTGATTTTACCATGACTATTTCTGGAGCTGGAAGTAGTTGCATTGGCTGGTGGAGGTGAAAGAAACACTCACCAGTGGGGTTTACTTACTTCTACGGTTTTGTATAGTTTTAAGAAAGATTCCTTCCGGTCCCCATCAGTCAATCCGGTTAAAACATTTTTGTATCAAATTTAGGGCTGGGATAGCTCTCTGGATACATACTGTATTAGTTTTACTTTGGTATTACTAGTCAAAGAAAGATTACTAACGGAGATGGCCCGGCCTTAGCTCTGCCAATAATCACCAATAATTGAATTGTTGTTTGGACCTCTGGTAACCGTACGAATCATTTATACCTTGTCAGTTGCGTTCAGTACCAAAGTCAGTTATTCTAGAAAGCTTCAGTGTCAAGTCCTTGTGAAAACCATAGTCCAGTTCTGAACCTGAAGTGCTGCTGGCTTCACTTGGAAAGCGTGAATCCAACTGGTTTTTTCTTTCACTTTTCTTTTCTTTCACTTTGATAGCTACATAAGTGACCCCAGTGAGCCTTTTCAGAAAGGGTAGCAGCTGCTTGCCACAGCGTAGAGGCACACCGGGGCAGGCACCCCCCCCCCCCCCCCCCCCCCCCCCCCCCCCCCCCCAGGGCACTGGCATCCGGAACTGAGAAATATGCTATTGGTTTAGAGTCTAATCCCCAAATTGGAGTTAAGCCTCCACTAGGACCAACCTTTAGTTTCATGACAAAATAAGTGGAAAAGGTTTTCAAAATTTGGGAAAAGTTGAGGGGATGACTCTTTAATAGCTGGTTTCATTTCTTCACAATACTTTTTCTAGGAACCAAACCATCCACAGGATCTCGGGAATTACCGTGCAATGTTTCGTCACTGGTTTCGCCTGTTCTGTAAAAGCTGAAACCTACTACTGTCTACGATACCCTACCTAGTCCACCAAATTTAAATTTTCTTTTTTTGGTAGCAGACTGGTTTACTGCAAATTTTTGAGACTTTGAGATTGTAACACGTTGCAGCCCTCTCCAGCTGATAACACGTCCTAAATATTTTACTTCAGTTTCACAATATTGCAACGTGTCTAGTGAGGAGGCCTTATGTCCCTTTGAGGGAAGGGATTGTAACAAAGCCAAAGTGTCCATTCCAAGAACGTTATTGCCCTTTAATTTGGGAGGCTACCAGCAAATCATCTACATATTGAATAATTAATTGTAGATCCCGCTAGTGGGACTGTAAATGTCCTGATTTCCTTCAGAAATCTTTTCCATAAATATGGGATCCCATAAATAAAAGCAAAAAGAATTTAGACTTGTCCACTAGAGGGACAGAAAAACAAGCAGAACATAGATCAGCTACAGAAATAAGCTTTGCAGATGACAGTGCTTAACGTCAAGATCATTGCAGAGTTAGAAACTATAGGAGTTAATGGTAATGGAGTAACAAATTTATTTTTCTAAGATCTTATACAAATCTATATATTGGTCAACCATTTCATCTCATAGATAAATGTCTCCTAGACTCTTTATAGACAGTGCTCTTTTAAAATGATTAAAATATCTCGTTTTTCTAATTCTTTTATCACTGGTTTTATTCCTTCTAATTGAGTTCTTAACAAAGGGTATTGTTTTACACCTGAGTATGGCTTATCTTTTTGTTAAGTTATTTTTATTGGTTCTATGTCTCTAAATGAGTACCATTATTCCCTAAGGCCCAACTCCATACATCTGTTTCTTTCGGCTCTGCCTTCTCCAAGTGCAGTGAGAGACTGTCACTCTCCGCCATACACCCCTTTTCTTTCAGAAGGCACATACTTAGCAAATAACTGGGGACCTTTTCCTCCAGGGAGGTTCACCGGTATTCCATCTATAATACAGAGTATGCTAGCCTTTACTTTGCACAGCAAGTCTTCCCCAACATGCTAACAGGAGAATCAGGACAAAGTGAAACCATTATGTTCCTCAGTCAGAGGACCTAGCTGTATAGGAACCGCAGAGGAAAAGGAACAAGTAGAAAGGTGACCTGAAAAACCAACAACCTATATTGTTCTCTCACCAGCTGGAACAGAAGACATTTCCAGGAAATTGCAGAATAAGCAGCAACAGTATCTAGCAGGGAAAGTAAGGCTATATTAGGCCAAGGAAAGTCTTTGACACACAAAGTTGGTTCACCAGTTCCCACCTCTGAGATTCTCTTAATCACCCAAATTTGAACCATTTACTGGTC